CGGGCGGGCGGCGGGCGGCTGCTGCGGACCCGGGACCCCGGCGACCGCGTTTGCGCGTGTGGTTGCGAACATCGCGTCGCCGTAGCTGTGTCTCTAATAACCCTCCAGAATTTAGGTGAGGCGGAGCAAGTGCGCCTTGAATAGTTATTTTTTCAATCGCGAAAGTACTGCGTGCTCCTTAGGGGAAAACGCAGCTGCCGAACAATGCGGAGGCCTCCCCGCCCCTCGCCCTGCCCCGGGACCCGGGCGCTCCCCCCGCCACCCGCGATCCAGGATCCTTTTCTGTGCGTATGACGAATGGGCTTCAGGAGCAAAACTGGGGTGATCGCCTGCGGACTGTCGCCTTCCCGGCCCCGGGGCAGCGCGGCAGCCCTCCATTTTATTACACACTTTTATTTTTTGAAAGGTGCACGGCTGATTGATTGTTTATCGCCGAAGATGGTCGTCGGTGTTTCACCGATCGATCGCTTTCTAAAAGGGGGCTGAGCCCATGTTTTGAAACGCATTGTGAAACCTTTAGACTGTCCCAGGCCCGATGGGATACTTTCCTGCGAAACAGGTTGAGTAATGTGTTTACCCGGAGCTTAATGGTAGTTTACGCGAGGTCGGATGATTTCACGTAGCAGGTCACTAAGAGAGTTTACTTTTCGTGTGCATTTAAGTGCCGTATGCAACGATGAAAGCAGTTAGCTTTTAAACAGGAAGCAGCTAGTTCGCGAAGAAGAGCTAAGGTAGAAAAGTGGCCCAGAAGTTTGCGTTTGGAGGGGCACCAGGGATTAGATATTTTGCTAAGTGAACCTTAAGAGAGCTGAACCGGGAAGACAAAGCCAGCCAATCCCACTGTGTCATTTTGTGTGTTTGGGCCCAGAAGAGCTGCAGGTTTGGTGATTAATCAGTAACGTGAATGTGTATTTATTAAAAATGTACCGTTGTGTTCCTCTTGGCTCTCGCTTCCAGGGAAAACAGAGCTGAGGACATTCATCACAGGCGACAGACCGGTTCCAAACATACAGCGGGGAATAGTAGGCTAAGTGGTGTAGCGTTTGGGAACTGTGCTTAAAAGAAATCAAAAACATTGTGCCATTGTAGTTATTGTTCTGAGTAATGATATCCGCGTCTAACTTGCTCAGAACAGCAGCATACGTAGCATTCTCCCCATTCTATGCGTTAGTAAACGTGTTGTGAAAGATTGAACTGCTCGAGATCCCGTAGCTTTTTTATTAGTCCTGCCTGTTCAGACGCAGGTGGTGCTTAGTTTAAGAACCTGTGTTTTCTGTTCAGCCTTTGCTGCCTCCTGTTAATGAAAAACTGTCCTGCAACGTTGATCTTAGTTTTCTTTCTTTGCAAATGTTTCTTACAAAAATAGACATAAATATAACCATGTGCACTGAAAATAGTCTAAAGGCTCAGCCCTCAGAAACTTAAGGATATCCATCTCTTTTTGCTGTCGTGGTCCTGGAGAGTACACTCCGTTCCTTGTGCAGTCTAGACAAGCACTCTACCTCCGAGCTACTCCCCCAGCCCACTTTATTTTATTTTTCTCTATTGTTTTGGGGACAGGGTCTCCCTGAATTGCCCATGCTCGCCTTGCACTTGTGATCCTCCTGCTCAGCCTCCTGGGTAGCTGTGATTGCAGGTGTGTGCTCCCACCCCTAACTAATAGTGTCTTTGCAGATGAGGTTTCTGGTAGTCCATTAATAAATATTACACTTCTTGGTCTCCCGCCCTTAGGCAAGGGTGAGGGGTTGCAGTAGGCACGCCTCCGAGCTGTGCTAAATTCGGCTGCTGTGGTTTGTAGCTGTCACTGCTGCTCCTCAGGAACGGTGTGCAGTCACATAAAGTGTGGTGAACCTAGGTGAACTTTCTGAAAAGTAGTAAGTTGAAAGACTACAAAGAGAACCTTAAAGTTTTTCTTTACAAGATTGACATTTGGTTATTTAATTTTTTTTAGGTATTTTAATAGTTTCTGTTAATAGTTTCTTAATATGGTGTATGAATCCGTTTTAGTTTTCCTATAGATGTGGCATCTGAGTAGTTTAAAGAAATACTGCAAGTACTGAAATTAATAAAGTACAGTTAACTGTAATACATACTTGTGAAGAAACGAATGTATAGCAGAAGATTGGAGCTTTTATTTGCAGTTAGGGATGGTAGTTGCAGGCATATTTAAAGTGGCAAACTACACTGATTATCTCTTGCACAACTTACATTGAGTACTAGTGGGCTTATAGTGGTGTGACATACGAGTGTCAGCCCCAGAACGGCCTCTGCCGGGGGTGGTGGCACACGCCTGCAATCCCAGTGCTCAGGAGGCAGAGGCTGGAGGAGGCCGACCTGGGCTACATAGTGAGTTCAAGGTCAACCTGAGCAACATAGACTCTGTCTCACCCCCGCCCCCAAACAAGTATGTTAAGGTCCAGCTCTCAGTCATGCAAGACAAGCAGGCAGGGAGACTAAAGCTGAGAGTGTACTAGTGTGTATTTGTGAAAGCTATTGAGTGATCTTGTTACTGGTGGGAAGAAATAGACAGTTTTGTGTTGTTGTTGTTGTTTTTTAATTTAACATGAAAATCCTTTGGGGGATCTATATGTATGACTAGCCAAAGATAAATAAGCTGTTTGGTTCTCTGAAGGATACAAAAACAAAAGTACCAGGGGTGATCTCTGGAGTTTAAAATCCGTTGTTTTGGTCAAGGAAAAGAACTTAAAATTTACTACATTACATGCCTAAGGCAAGGGAGGATTAGATTCCTGGTTGGATGTTGAAGAACTAATTTGTCTAGATAACTGCTGTTGTGGAATTTTATGAAGGGCCTGTGGCCGGATGGATCTGGAGTAAGCAGCTAGTTAACTTGGAAAGAGAAGCCAGGACAGGAGAAGTGGGGGAGAGCCCGAGAATTGGCTGTCGGAGCAGACGGAGGGCGGAGGAGTCACTTCAGAGCCCGTGATGAGTAGAATCAAACATGTGGATGGGTGTCCGGGAAGATGAGAACTTAAAAGTTCCTTGAGCTTTTAGGTACTAAAAAAATACCTCATTCGAATTACCAGTGTCCTGCTGGGGTTGAGTTGGAATAATTAACACTTTTCAGTAACTTGGAGGCTCTTAGAAGCCTTCTGTAATAATCACATTGTAAGTTAGTTCAGCGTGTAATCTGAAGTCGCAGTCAGCGTTTGCAGAGCTGTAAAGTGTTCACTGAGAGCCTCCAGGTGGTCCTCCTCGGATGTTCGTACCTGCTCGCTTCCATTTCCTTACCTGGAGCTGTTGCTTCAGGTTTGCTTTCTCATTCATTTTTAGAGCTGTTTTCTCTCTTGGTGATTCCAGCAGACCGAGGTCTTCCTTCTCCCTTCGTCCGCAACCCTTACTTGCTCTTAGGCTCCCAGTTCTGTCTTTCTGGCCTCATTTTCTTTTCCTGATCAGCAGATTTGCCTTTTTGTTCTCCTTGGGAGTCTTGCTGGCTGTTGAATCAGTAGCTTTGTAAATGTAATTCTTTTCCTGGTTCCTTGTTTATATTCTGACCTCAGTGTTTTCTTGGTTGCCCAGGTTTACAGTCAGAAGGTGACCTTCAACTTTTTACTCTCTCCTTTTCTCAGGAAAAAAAAAAAAAATTGAGGGTGGTCATCTTTGTTGCATTTTAGTTCATGTGTACGGAAATGGATGCACCTTGAGACCATAGTGTTACTTAAGATACGTCAGGCACTGGCTGTTTGTGTCAGTCATCTGAGTCTTTATTCCATCGGAGTGCTGTCTGAATGCCTCATTCTTATTTGGTCCTGGTATTATCCCCACTTGACGGGTGAAGAAATTGAGTCTTTATGAACCTGAAGGAGCTGCTGGTAGATAACAGGAATCCACATGAAATTCCCAATTTAGATAGTTATGAGGGTTGTGCAGAAGTTACAATTTTGTGTTTCTCTTTCATCTGTTTCTCTTTCATCTCTTTCATCTTTACATTCTATGTTCTATCCTGTTAGAGTTTACCTTAGTAAGTATCTTTTGTTTTATTAATTAAAAATATAATGCTGTTGAGAATTGTGAACATAGGATAGGTTGGTGATAATGATGGGGGAAATTTTTCTTCTTGGTCATTTACTTTTTTCACTCTGTTGGCCAGGCTAGCCCCAAGTTCCTGGGCTCCAGCTGTCCTCCTACCTCAGCCTCCTGAGTAGGCACTGCAAATGTTTGCCACTTTTTCTGACTAACATTTGCTTTTTGGAAATTTAAAATGCATAATCATAGAATGGGACTTGTTCTTAAACCAGTTTGTCACTATACCCTCAACTTCATGAAGCGTAATCACAATTACCACTTTTAAGTTTTACACAAGTTTAAATTGACTCATTGATTTTGAAATAGTACAATCACATGGTTCAGATTTTAAGACTGCACAGCTCCATAGCTAACTTGTGGAAGCAGCCTATGTGTCCATAAACAGATGAATGGATAAAGAAAATGTATTTATAGCCGGACGTTGGTGGTGCATGCCTGTAATCCCAGCACTTGGGAGGCTGAGGTAGGAGGATCATTGTGAGTTCGAGGCCAGCCTGGGCCACATAAGTGAGTTCAAGGCCAACTTGAACTGCATAGTGAGACCCTGTCTCAAAAAAGACTGGAAAAAAAAAAAAAGAGAGAAAGAAAGAAAATGTATTTATACACAATGGAGTACTACTGTACCATAAAGAAGGATACATTTGAGTCATTTGTAGGAAAATAGATGTACCTTGGGACCATAATGTTAAGTGAAATAAGTCAGACACACAAGCTTAAATGTCACATGGTTTCCGTTACATGAGAAACCCAAAGTATTAATAAAGAGCAAAATGAAAGATAAATAGTAGGAAACAGGGAGGTGGCTCCTAAGAGGACCGACAGAGAGGAGGGCAGGAGGGCAGGAGGGCAAGGAGGAGAATGTAGTATTAAGATGTGCTGTGTGCACGTACCAGCTCCGTGGGGTGAATGTAATCTGTACTGCAACCTTTGCTAAGATAAAAATTAACCGAAACAATTTTAAGTGCCGCAGAAAATACATAAACTGGAAATATCTCTTCCTCAGCCTCCCATTTTCCCTGTTGGAAGGTAGTGGCTCATCTCTGGAATGGTAGGACAGAAACTTTTTCTTTCATGTGTACAGATAAATGTGACTGTTGCTTTTCCTTTTCACGTAGGTAAGGGTGAGGTGTATTGCACCACATTCTCTCCCTTAGCGTGTGCTCCAAGCGTCCCTGTACGGCGCGTCTGTTCCCTCGCTCTCTGAGGGGCCCTTGGGCAGGTGTCCTTTCAGCCATTGATTCTTGTTTACAGGAGATGCACATATATGTCTGTTTGTTTTATATTGACTTATTTTCTGTATACTTTTTATTTAGAACATTATATTCACATGGTGGCACACACCTTAATCCCAGCACTTGGGAGGCTGAGGCAGGCAGGTCACCATGAGTTTGAGGCCAGTCTGGGCTACATAGTGAACCTAAGGCCAGTTTGAACTACACAGTGAGACTCCATCTGAAAAAAAAAAAAAAAAGCTGGTAAATGATAAAGTAAAAAAAAAAAA